CTGTGTCGATCACGGAATACTGCTAGTCAAGCTGAATCATTACGGATTCAGGGGTCTCGTTAATGACTGGTTTGCTTCATACCTCACTGGTAGAAAACAATTTGTGAAAATTGATGGGGTGAACTCCTCTTCATTGAATACACATTGTGGGGTACCTCAAGGGTCAGTATTGGGTCCTGTACTGTTTCTCCTTTATATAAATGATATTTCTAGTCTTTCTATACAAGGAAAATTCACTATATTTGCAGACGATACCACCATTTTATGGCACAGTAGAAATGTAAATGAATTGAAGGCAGCGATAACCAGAGATTTGAAAATAGTTAAACTTTGGTGCGACTCAAATCACTTATGTTTTAACGCTAACAAAACCATTAGATTCGATTTTGACGACTTACAACTAGAGAATCAGAATATAGAAAATAAACCACACTGTAAATTCTTAGGTCTTTCGATTGACAATAGACTCAAATTTGAAGAGCACGTAAAAAACCTCAATAGAAAGCTATCTTCTAGCTGTTATGCTATCCGAGTTATTTCTAATGAGCTTGGGCCATCTTCAGCGAAATTGCATATTTCTCTTTATTCGAATCGCATTTTACGTACGGTATTGCTTACTGGGGTTTTTGCACAGATCAATTATTGAACTCAGTGTTCGTTCTACAGAAGAGAGCTGTTCGGTACCTATGTAAGGCTGCAAACCGGGCACACTGTAAACAACTCTTCATCCAACATAAAATTCAGACAATGTACAATATCTTTATTATAGAGTCTGCGTGCCTTATTCACAAAAAGTACGGGTCGAGTATCTCCAGAAATTGTTCATAACACCAGACAAAAAAATAATCTACAATTACCCATTCCTTTGTATACATTGACAAAAAATTCGCTTATATATGAAAGCAAAAAAATTTACAATCATCTTTCACAAGAGATACGTAAAGTTTCGAATCTTAAAGCCTTTAGGCATAAGCTGAAGGAACAACTGGAAATAAAAGCGTACTATAGTATTTCAGAATATTACAATGATACCTTCTGATATTTTATATATTTTCATGTGGAAACTAGTGAAGTATTATGTTCATGTTTTTGTTGGTGTAGTTTGTCAAATATCGTCTGTTTGTTCGTTTTCATATATATATATAGTGACGAGATAATATATTACAATATAATATATTATGTTTATTTTTCACATTATTGTTATTATCATCAATGTTATTATAAGTATTACCATTCTATATGACGAATTATAAATATAATTATGAATAATAATTATTGTTAAATTGTAACCTGCTTTGTCAATGAGTTAACACTTTGGACAAAAAAGCTTATTTGATTGATTAACGATATCATCAAACAAGTAAAAAAATGTAAATTGAAATTATTCGCTGATGATACTTTGTTATACTTTGCTGGTGAACCAGAAGAAGTTGAATCATCTTTAAATGAGGACTTGAGTCGTATCTTCTCATGGTTGTGTGATAATGGACTGATGCTGAATCTTGGAAAGACCAAATGTATGTTGATAGCTAACAGAAACAAACATAAAACATTGAAAAACGATTTGTTTCAAATGATCTTGATAATTAATAATGTCATAATTGAGACTGAAAAAACCTATAAGTACTTGGGAGTAATGATTGATGAAGAATTGAATATGAATGCACACTGTGATTATATAAAGAAAAAGATTGCAAAGAAAACCCACATTTTGTACAGGCTCAATGGTAAAGTTTCTTTTATTTCTAAGTTGACTATTTACAAGTCTATAATAGCACCTCACTCCAATTATTGTGGGACCCTATTATTTTTTCTTAATAATGACCAGTTGAACATAATTCAAAAAACACACAATCGTTCCATGAGAGCTATACTCATGTGTAACAAACGTACTCCAATAAAAAATATGTTAGATACATTATCATTGATGACTGTGAAACAAAGAATTCATTACAATATGTTGGTCTTTGTGTTCAAGATGAAAAACAGTATGTTACCATCCTACCTCAGTGACGAATTAAGTTATATTGAAAATGTACACACTCATGAGACTAGAATTCGAACTGCAAATGATTTTTATATTCGAATGGATAACATGCACTGTGACCTCGACTGTGACACAGTATTTAATAAGGGTTTAATACTCTTCAATAGCTTACCCTCTGAGGCAAAAAACCTCACGACTTTGACCCTTTTCCAAAAAAAATGCAAAGACTATGTATTCAAACAGTTTTAATAGTATGAAATCATATTTTATGATAGTAGCTTTTGAAATGTTGTATCTAGTAGATTTTTTATATTGTACTTATAGTAATTTTCAATATGTTGTACCTATTATAGTACCTGTTTTTGTCTTTCGAAGGACTTTTGTTATTTGTGATACTTGTGTTGTTTTTTGCTTATTCTGTATTTTTCTGTGAAGAGCACTTTGTATGCTAATAAAGAGTTATATATATATATAAATATAAAGAAATTCATTGAGAATTCGCATTCTCCATGTAACGGTTCATTCAACAGAAAACAACAATTTTCCTGGCTATATGTCACGACAAACATTGAATTTCATCTTTTGAACACACACGATAAGAATTTGAAAACAAAATCTTCTGGAGTAGAGAATTTGCATTTGCCTTCATATAAATATATGCATATAATGCATGAATATTCAACAAAAAAGAACTACTTTCCTGGCTACTGGCCACGTCGAACATTGAATTATGTCTGTTGAATATCCAAAAAGAGAGCCTGAAAAATCGAAATCCTCTAAACTTGAGAATTGACATTACCTCTCGAATCGAAAAACGATTATTCTACGTTTATTTCAGTATTTCATTGAAATCAGGAATCACTGGGTAGTGAACGACTTTGAGATGTAGTGATCCTATACGTTTGATAAACTGAATATTCGAACGTTTTTCTCAATATCGGAATAATACCAATTATGTACAGGGTGGCGCTTCATCATTGGGATCTCGTGAACCGAAAAAGAAACAGTGAGATTAAATTATGACAGCTTGGGAAATTCCGAATACTTTCGCAGATATCTGAAGGAAACTGATATTATTCGAACCTCCATTATTTATAAGTTATTTGAAGAAATTAATCGAAATTAATTACACTTTATCATAGAGACTTCTCCTTTCCTACGAGTTGACGTTTTCAAATTCAAGATCTGACGTTTCATCTCCCAGAAACCATGAGAAGAGTCGACCCTTTATCATTTCAATAAGAACTGTTCGAAATGATGTTTGTCTCTGAAAAACTCATCACATCGATAGTTATTCATACCAGTCCCAATTTGACAAGAATCGTCCGATTAATAGATGAAATATAGAGGGCCGTTCAAAGTGAGAGATGCTGTATAATAATTTTCCAAAAACTTCATTGGCTAGGAACTGGTATTGGTTATAGGGGATATTTCCGTCCGACTGGAAAATGGCAAGAGTACAACCAGTTCCTGAAAAAGACAAAAAGTCCCTACCTAGCAACTACAGACAGATCGCACTGCTATGTATTATTTCAAAGATCATGGAGAAAGCTATCAACATCGAACTCATGAAATACTTGGAACATTCAGGTATTATCAACGATACCTATGCAATATGGCTTCCGTCTTCAGAGATCAACTGGTGACCTGCTCGCTTACATCTCACATATTTGACAGCAATCTATTGAAAGATATGGTGAAACCTTAGTCGTGGCACTTGCTCACTTCAAGGCATTCGGTCGAGTCTGGCACCACAAACTCCTCTCCAAGCTTCCATCTCATGACTTGCATCCCCAGTTATGTTCCCTGCTAGCTAGTTTTCTCTCAAACAGGTCTCTCCATTTAGTGGTCGACGGAGTTTCATCTGACTCTCTTATCATAAATGGTGGTGTTTCGCAAGGATCAATTCTAGCACCAACACTATTTCTACTCTATATCAACGATTTGTTGGAAGCAACTTCATGTCCAGTACACAGCTTCACGGATGATAGTACCCTTCATACCGCCTTCTCTTCCAGGGCTCCAATACCAGCCAGGCAAATCAGAAACGAACGAGGGAGAAAAGTTGACAACACAAATATGAACTTGGCAACAATTCTCGAATGGGGATCCAATAACTTGGTAGATTTCAAACAAAACACAAGCATGCGTTTTCTCTAGAAAAGCCGATCTCACTGAGTCCAACATAAGCTTGTCAGGAGTAACCATACCTTTGAAGACATCCATTTCGGTGCTTGGTATTACTATCAGCAATAACCTTTCTTGGGAAAATCACGTGAGATCAATTGCTGAAAGTTCATCCCAAAAACTTGGTTTTCTGTTTTGGGCCAGAAGCTATTCCACTTCCAGTCAGCTGCTTATGATCTATAAGGCACAGATCAGACCTGTCTTGGAATACTGTTCCCATATTTGGAGTGCAGAACCCAAACATACCCTGAAACTGTTGGATTCTGTCCAATAAAGGGCAATTCGTCTCGTGGGTGATGCCTCGCTCACAAACTCACTCACTTTCCTGGAACAGCGTAGAAAAGTTGGCGATCTGGCTTTTTTTATGAATATATTCATGGACAATGCTCTTCTGAAATATCAACAATTGTTTCTCCCTTGACAGTCCCCGCCAGATTAACCCGTCGAGTTGAGGCTTCACACCCCTTCGGGGTCACTCTGGAGACCTGCAGAACATCTCTTTCCAAAGAATCGTTCATCCAACAAACAGCGAGGCTTAGGAACACATCGCCAAGTGAGGTGTTCCCCGAGGCATACAAACTCCAGAAATTTATGGAAAACACCAATTCCTACCTCATTTTCTTTGTTTCTCACGATGTTCTCTGAACATTACAGGATTTCCCTTTTCGTGGGAACGAGAACATGAAAAAAAAAACAACAAACACTGGGCTGCTCAGGTGCATGAAACATCAAGAAGAAAGTGGCTAACATTAAATTGTTTTATGGAGTGAGGTTGTGATTGTGGGTTTTTTCATCCCTCCTGATAACCTGTTCTGATTTGTTACAGAGCTGGGAAGCCCTTCCGCCTGACACGGCCACCTTCACGCCCGACATAACGCCGCTGATCCTTTCTGCGCACAGAGATAACTACGAGATCATCAAAATCCTGCTCGATCGAGGTGCCACTCTGCCCATGCCGCATGACGTTAGGTGAGATATTTAACAGCCCCTGATTGATAGATTCAATGAGCGAGTGGACTGATAATGAATTATTGGCATTCAATCACTTCACTGTGTCGTTAGGAACCTAAATTAATTTTTTATGCAACCGACACGAAAGTCGTGTATTTTAATACCAAAATTAGCTCTTGAATTGACTTTACTATCACTGACACAAAAATAGGTATGTTGCTAGGCAACATATTTAGTTCCTAGGAGCTAAAGTTGAACTTTAGTTCCTAGGAGCTGAAGTTGAACTTCAGCTCCTAGGAACTAGAAAGGATGTACTAGATGTCATCAAGAATAAACAACATTGTCACGGTTGGTTATTTGGGTTGGGAGATATAAATACACATTATTATAGTTTAGTATAGGAATTATAAACATCCCAGTTAAGTATTTTTGTTTTGATCAGGAAAGCCTTCAAGATTCACATACTAGCTTGATCTCTATTCCATTCGTTATTCTCAGGATAAATAAATTGTTTTTGAATAATCACGGCAAGCAATAGTTTTTTGTCTCAAACAACGATATTTTTTACGTCCATTTGATTTTCAAGTCAAAGACAGTGTAGTATGGAGAGGAATAAATAATCGCTATTATTATTGTTGATATGCTCACTAACTTAACATTTTTCCGTCTTGTTCCTATGGGTTGCGTGCAAGAACTGTCAGATGACCGACGCTGGAGGCAAAACATTGAAACACAACGTCACTTTTCTTATTTGTTCACAAGTGATAGAAATAGTTTTCCACAATTATTTTGGCATATGAATCGTATTTTTCCGCTATTCATCAATTCGCTCATGCCATCACATTGTGCTGTTGTAAAATGCACAAAAACTGCAGCGGAAGATGAAGGAACCCGGATGGTACATTATGATTTAAAAGTAAGTATCTACTATAGTCACTCACATATAGTTCTCATTTTTGAAATTTGGTTATTTCTCTGATTTCTCATCGGAATTCCTTCTGCAATGAGAGCTAATAGAAATATACCTGAAATTTCTAGAATAATGCAAGAAGATTGGATTCATGCAATCAATCGGGAGGACTGGTATGACATGCTGACGATCGTGTGTGTTGTAGACATTTTCAATCTATTAGCAGTATTAGCTTGTATTGCAGAAGTGGCAGAAGGCAGAAGGAATTTTCATAAGGAATGACAACATTTCATAATGATAACTATGTGAGATTACTATTTACCTGAGAAATCATATTCCATAGTCTCTTGCTGCATTTTTTGTGCATTGTACAGCACAATGCGAAGACATGCTTGAATTAATGAATAACGCAAGAAACACGATTCGTATGCCAAAATATTGTGAAAACCTATTTCAATCCACTAATTCCTCGGTAACCAAATGAAAAAGTGAGGTTGTGTTTCAATAATTCACAGAAGAATGAGGTTGTGTTTCAATATTTTGCCTCCAGGGTCGGTCATCGTGCACGCGACCTATACCTGGCACACTGACACCGGCGCGGTATTTGCCATTAGAGCACCTGGTCCATACACAAATATGTCACTCTGTGGTTGTATCACAGTGTGACCCACTTCTAATGGAAACACCCCTGTATTCTACTTAATCTTTGGGTAAGGATCCTGAAATTTGCTGGAGCGAGAGATATACCAAAAATGCACTCTATGACCAAGTGGGGGTGATCTTCAGTAATATACACTGCTCGGCAACAGCCATGGAACCACACCCCGATTTCTGGGAAATGATATTAGGAGTCAAAATAGGTTGAAAATCACCTCGGATTTGGAATCAGGACGCCCAATTCACTAAATATTCATAGTTTTCCGAGAAAATTTTCAGTTCAGAAAAATAAAATTTTAGCTCACTTCTCATGTAAGCACCCCCGTATCTAACGTAATTATTTGGTTATTGCTCTGAAATTTGCAGGAGGAAGAGAAAGTCCAAAGATAAAGTCAATTACGTAAGATATGGAGATGCTTCCGGACAAAGTGCGACAAAATTTAATTTTTATGAACTGAAAATTTTCCAGGCAAAATATGAATAGCTTGAGAATCGGGTGTTCTGATTCCGAATCCGAAGTGTTTTTCAACCTATTTTGACTCCTAATATCATTTTCCGGAAATTGGGGTGGTTCCATGGCTGTTGGCGAGCAGTGTATATCACTAAAGATGACCCCACTTGGTTATAGGGTGCATATTTGGTATATCTCTCGCTTCAGCAAATTTCAGGATCCTCACCCATCGATTACATAAGATACCGTTGTGTTTCCATTAGAAGTGGGTCACACTGTATATTGAAACTATAATTCGAACATCCTTGAAAATTGAATAAACCTGCTGTTAATGGTAGAATATTCCCACCACACGGATTATTTGTTGCATTGTATACATATTGCACGGCATTGGTGGTTACTTTACATACTTATTTGAGTTAATCGTTTCAGTTGCAGAAAAAATAGCATGTTTCATTCGGATCAAAAGTAACTTCATTTGACTCACAAATTTTGCTTTCGCTTGGTTTCGCTGGACGCTCCGCCTCGCAAATGCAAAATTCGCTTGTCAAACAAAGTGTCACTTTTGATCGTGATAAAGAATCTACTTTTCGCAACTCTCCTCACCCTTTTTTATGTAAATAATGAGTCTACGCGTAGTTCGAAATTGTTGAAATTCAGAGCTCATTTCAACAGAGTCTTCATGGCCGCCATTGGCGAAACGGCGAATAAATAATGGTGACTTCAGCTTTTATGCTATTTCGTTATTGGTCAGATAATCTTCCATTACCACACATGAAGAAAGGTTGTCAAGTCACCAACTATAATCTAGTTAACAAAAAAATGTTAGTCATGTCGTTGAATGAAACATAATTGGAGGAACCCATGATGGTTTAGTTCATTCTTGACTTTTTCGAGCAATCAGCATATCCAAACAACACGAAATATCATGTGAATGTTGGAGACTTGGCAACATTGTGCTGAATGCTGAGAACCGACAAGACCACGCCCACAAATCGTGCACCGTGCACAGAGAAAAAAAATCACTAACCCTGAGTGAATATTTGATAGTGGCAAGTAAAAACTTGTATAATATATATGGGACAAGAAAACAAGTCAATAACCACAAGAATATTTGTGTTCCTGAAAATGTACACCTACCACTATTGACCTGTTTCATTAAATTTCAGAGTGATAACGGTTAGTGAACACATCACTTGTCATCAGTGACCTATTCAATTGTCATTAGTGACTTATCTACTAGTCATCAGTGACTTATTTACTTGTCAATAGTGACTTATTCACTTGTCATTAGCTAGTATGAAAAAATACCTCCATTGTTATCTGAAGAATGATAAAACCTTGATAATAAGACACATGCATTCAGAACCTTTTATTAAATAGGTATGATGAATCCAGAAAATACAAAAAAGGTGAGGCTGACGACAAATATTGAGATACTAGATACCGCGAATATCAGCATCATGCACCGAGAAAAACGGTACTCTCACTCACTGCACTGCACTCTGGTTCACTATCTTCTTCCTTCCAGCATTGAAGATGAATCAACTTTCATACTTTTTAAACGTCACTTCCATCCACTTAGAGTATCATAGGAAGTGGAAAAAATCCTGTATATATGTAGAAACAATTATGTACTGTTCTAGAAGAGTTTTGTATTTCATTATCTCCTTCAAGAGAACAGATCAAGAACTCAATACCCCACAGCTCAGAGCACGGCCACAGAGCACGGCACACAAACATCAGAGAATTCTCATATACGAATATGATATAGTAGTTGTTCGAAAGGGCACTTGCATGACTTGGAATTTCAATGTTACTAGCCGGAACGCAAGTATGCTAGCTTCACGAATGCTAAGATCGAAATGACGACGTGGACTCGTGGACACTGGACAGTGATCGCGTTGGGCGTGGGTACTCGAATAATATCGGAGATGTCCGAACGGAAAAGAGATCTATAACTACAGGTGAGCTGTCACCTGCAACAATCGACTTGATAGATTGTCTTTATTGATGAGTTCGCTCAGAGCAAGTGATCTTATGTCAGAAAAATAATTTAATAATAGTGAGAACTCGTTAACCTAGCACTAGTTCAGTGTTCACTTAGAATTAGCGAACTCTAAGTACATATCGACTTGGTTGATACCAACAAGTGTTCTGATCACTTACAGCAGAAACTTCGTTCCAGAAATATAGTTTTGCCTACTGCAAGTACCATATTTTCCTACCGTTGGTGAAAATGTTCTTGTCACAATCGACTTTTTTTCAAGAAAACAATTTACTTGGCCGAGTTTTCTCAGTGTGGTTGTCACGTTCACCGATTCACACAAATTCATTATAAGCAATGAGCCGCAAATCATGAGAGAACATTTCGAGGCAATTGAATTGTTATTGCTAATTTGTGGCCAGCGTAGCCTCGTGGTTAAAGCGTCAATGTTCTATCCACGTTGGATTGCCGGTAGATGGGTTCGATTCCCACCACCACCGCAGACCCTTTTCTGATGGCCTAAGAAAGTTTTTGGGATCACACGTTAAAAGGTAAGACATCCGTCATTCCTTGTTCGCACAAGATACCATAATTAGAAAATATAAGATGGCGGATCCAATACGTCGAACGAGCTATGTAATAAATGATGTTTTGAAAAACTAATGAAACACGCTTTCATAGATAGCAAAAATGGGAAGAAGTAGAAACTAAATAGTAGTTCAGAGAACTAAAGAGATAGATTACCGCACTGAAAAGAATTAGAAAATAAATAGTAGTTTGAGAAACTAAGAAAACACGCTTTTATGGTTAGTCAAACTGAACAGAAATAGGAAATGAAATAATGAAAGTGTGTTGTTGAATATTCAACTGGAAAAAAATTTTTCTCGAAATAATGTATGTACATACATATAGCAAAACAACGTTTGCCGGACAGCTATAATAATTAAAATGACTTGAAATAAATGCAGTATTATTTGTGTACTGTCTTTCCAACTATTTCCTTCAAATTTATT